GTGATGGTTACTTCAAATGTTAGAGTCAATGATTAATGAGCGATACTAGGTAATTTTCATCTCTAAGTTACTTCATTGTATTAAATAAGATGTTAAAAAAAAAAAAAAAAAAAAACAACTGCTTGTTTTTAGGGATGATAATTATATCATCATTTTCAAGTTAATTTGAATGATGGATAATAAAAAAGAACACAATATATTGATTCAGATGATTTCTTCGTTTTCTAGTGTTTTGAATGATATGTTCATTGGTGAACCAGTTCACCTGATGTTCATGTGTGAATGAGAGATATTAATACGCAAATAGTCGGTCAATGGTTCATTAATGAACAATTTCCATGACTACCGAATTCTGTTACTTATCATATAAATGTTCATTGGTGAACTGATAAACCGTTCATAAGTGAAGAAGTAAAATGTCATTGATTTCGGTTTCAAAACGATGAACGAGAGATTTCCGAAAGTTGAAATTGGTCCATAGTAAAAGCTCCTAACCTCTTCCAATTTTACCATGTTAACTATTGTTCGTTGCAACACAACACACGCTCATTTTACTATTATCACAAAAACGTCACCGATGTTTTAATCCGTAAATTAAATAAACTAAATATCATGATTAATTCAAATAGTTAATAAAAAAAAGTTAACAAATGAATCAACCCCTACATTTATAAAATGAATAAATGGGTTGAAAGAACTAACGATATTTAAAACGAGTCAATTACAAATAATGACAACCGACCCTGTTTTAATTTATAATTCGGTAACCGTCAACTATATATAATTATAAAAAGTTTAGTAGTTTGACGGTTTTAACCCTTCAACAATTACAATTCGGTAACCGTCAACATAACCATAATGGTAGACTTCTATAGACAGTAGGTCTGTTAAATGTTTGATATGTCTTGGCATAGACCCAAAATTGTGACTTTTTAGTAATGATTTTTTAAAACAAGAATTAAACCAAAGTATGTTTCAATTATTTCGCATTTTAAGTTTAAAAGAAGCATTCACATCAATAATAATAACAACTGCTTAGGGGGTGTTTGGGATTGCTTATAAAAACTGTTTTTTAACTTATTTCAGTCTAGCACCGGTGATAAGCTGTTTTCTGATGTTTGGATAAGAAAAAAAACTGCTTATACCGGTGCCAAACCGGTAATAAGCTGTTTTTGATAAGTTAATCATTCATAACTTATAAAAAACTGCTTCTTACCAGTTTACAATTTTAACCCTGTTTTATTTAACTCCGGTTTAATACCACATAAGTTAATAAGCACTTTTACAAAAAAAAACACAAGTTGTTTTAAATAAGTGTCTGATGTATCTTATCTTAGACCTGAAAACGAGACTTGTCATAAATGGTGTCCAAAACATAAACCATACAAAGTATGTTTCATCCATTTTCTTTACACTTTGCCCAATATACACGTTTGAAATATTAGTAAAATTCGTATTATTACTTGTTTTACATTTTAAAACATTATAACAAGTAAACGTCACATTCGCATTATTTTCTTTATACTAAAACACATTGTCATAGCGACATCTCATCAACTATTTGCTGTAGAAAATGTATCATGTTGGTAAAAGAGATGGTTATCGACTTGTTGCATTTTTAAAACTCACGCAATTGGTTGCCATTTGTTAAATTAAGGGAGGAGGGGGGGGGGTTTGGGATCGCTTATAAAAACAACTTATTGACTTATTCCGATATGACACCGGTAATAAGCATTTTTGAGTGTTTGGATAAACAACTTATACCCGTGCCAAACCGGTAATAAGGAATTTTTGAAGAAGTTAAATTATTTTAACTTATGGTAAGTTGATAAGTGCTTTTGTAAAAAACCTAAGTTATTTCAAATAAGCAATTCCAAACACCCCCTAAGGATTAATAATATCAGTACAAAGATCGTAGTACTTAATATTAAATAAAGGACTAAAAGTTACACTTTACAATATTAAAGGGCTAGTTATGCAATTCAATCAAAATCTAAGGTTTGTAGTTGAAGAGAATATTGATCAATTTTCGACTTGGTCACTGACCTTTTCCATTTAAACGTAAATCGTCCCTAAAGTTCATTTATTACAAATTTATTCTTTATGTTTGCAAAATACAATGGTTTTTGTCTCTCACACCAACACCATTTTTTTTGGATTAACCAGGATATCCAACCCGTTATGCGAGCTGACTAATCCCAGTGCGACCACCTGCTTTGCAGATAGTTCGAAGTCACCGCATTTGAACCTCCGTGACTACAAAGAATTTTTTATTTCTCATTGGATTTGAACATGTGACCTACTGGTATTTTTGACATTTGGAGCCAAACTCAAACTAATCAGGTACCACCCTTGTGGTTAAATCAAGCTCAAACCAATTTTTTTTTCCTGTTAAATCCATTTTAATGAACGTGGTCATTTTATAAAGAGGGGCATTTTTCTTTGCCTCCTCCAAGTACTTATGCTTGTACTCTACCTTACATAATGGAAATGGTAATTAACAATTCGAAGAGAACTCAGTCATCAAATTAGGTTTAAAATCCACGATCTCTTATATAAGAAAACTCCTAGAAATCAAAATGGGTTATGGATTTTTGAAACCCCCTTCAGGGATTTCAGCTTTTTTGCCTACGACTTAATATGCAATTATGACTTTTGATTATATGAATCCCGTTAAGATTTTCGTCAACATTTGGGCACATAATAGAGACGGGGAGGGGTTGAGGGGAATCGTGGAGATACAGGCTTGGACCCGCAACCTATTCATTTCACACTAGCATAGGAAGAAGGACTTGCTTCCGTGGAATGCAAATCCTTCAAAAGGGCATATTTTTCTTCAACCATTCTCTTTCATCTTTTTCAAACCATCTGCTCCAAGATTTCGCCGAACTTGGCCAAATTTGGTATCTTTTTATCTGTTTTCTTCTTCAAAAGGAAATCCATCTCCATATGTGATGAAATCCATCTATTTTTGTTTAGATTGTTTTGGAGGGTGTGAATATGGGTTGAAGAGGGGGAGTGGAAATAGAGACATAGACGAATGGTGTTGATCACCATTTGCAAGTGGGTCTTCGTAACCGAAGATGGATATTGGTCACCATTTGCGTGTGTCTATTGGTCATGAAAGACGGGTCTTGGCCTATGGGCACTATTTTCGCCCTTATGCTAGATCACCATATTCGTCCCCTGCTCGTTTTCTTCCACACTAACATGACACAATAATATTGTGTGTCAAGTCTGTTGACTTTGGTTTAGGTGAGGGGAAGGGGTGTAGATGGTGGATACAGAGGAAGGATGGGGCAAAGACGTTGATTGGGTTTATAGAGGGTGATTAAGAAGGGTGGGCGAAGATGTGCCTTGGCGGAGTAGAAGATGGTGAATGATTGCGTCCCTATATTAGGAAAGAAAATTTGAACTAACGAACTATCTATACTACCTTATAAACCAGATTTGTCAAATGTCTTAAAGACAATTTTTAATGCACAAAGTACTATACATTTATGCACAAAGTCTTAACAGTCTTAAAAACAACTCATAATGCATTAAGTACTAGTACTTTATGCACAAAGTCTTAAAAACAACTCATAATGCATTAAGTACTAGTACTTTATGCATTAAGTCTTAAAATCTCTTAATCTACAATTAAAATAACATATAATACACGTTACCAATGCAAATTATTACTTTTTCTTTTCATGTTCCCGATATACTTTTGACACATTTCACTCATGCATTCACCCTCTCATACCTCTATGTCTTATCCCCATCCCCCAATGTGAGATTCAAACCGATATTCACCATGAGTTATTAAAAGTTCTATCATTCATCTCCCATTCAATTGCTATAGAACTCTCGGTCTCGCTTTCGATCTCTTGATACTTTACGTTTGGTGTAAATCAAATACATTTGTGGAGTCGTTTAAATATGTTGGATTTTAAACTATCATACAATTTTTTCCATCGATAGACTGTAATTGAAACCATAACTCTTATTTATTCAAATTGTATTAATATGTAAAGACCAATTATAACTCATATCATCGTTCAATATTCTCTAATAAAACCAGTGAAACTTCAAAATAGTTAAAATTCACGGCTCCCGCCACATTGCACGAGTACACAACTAGTTATTTATTAAACTAGATTTGACATAAAAGTTAACTGAACTCAGTGAGAGAGAGGAAAACCGTTAAAATTTTGCAAACAGAGGGAACACATTTACAACGAATGAAAATTAGGGACTATTTTTGTTAAAAAAATAAAGTCAGGGACCAAATCCTAAGTTTACTTTTGGTCTGAAAGTTTTGAGGGTTTTCTTGCCAAATAATGTCGATAAACATTGGGATTGCTTTTTCCAGATAAAAAAAAAAAAACAAATTTAATATCAACATACAAGCTGTATTGCAAACGGTATACGTCATTAAAATATAATCAGCTCTGAATTTAGTAATTATATATCTGAAAAAAGTAATACCTGAACGTTGCCACGATCACACGTGAGGTGTTATGGTCTAAGCGACACGCGTGACTCAACTCAACACCTGCACCCATCTCTGGCTTCATTGTTGTTGGGGGAGAGCTGAAGTTGATCTTCTTGTTTTGATTTGAGTTTCAGTTCGAATTGATAATGGCGTCATCGGCACTGGGAACGGAGAGTTTCGCCGGTTTCGAATATACATCAGCGGGAGGAATCTTCTTGATGCGATGGTGGAATGAGATCGACGGATCGCAACAATGGCAGGAAGGAGTTTTTTATGCTCTCTGTGCTGCTTATGCACTCGTCGCTCTAATTGCTCTGGTATATTTATGATTTTGATCTTATGAGAGGATAAGGTTGAATTTTTGTTTAACCTAAAGTGAATTGTAGTATTGACTTCTATAGGGGCTATAACTTATCTTGTAGTATGAAAAGAAGTTCCGATAGGTAAGTTTTAGAACAGATATAAAGTTAATTCAAATTTGGATTTCGAAAAATGGCCTGTTGGATGGTAATGGTCTAAGTTTATTCTTGATTTTGGAACGGATGCTGTAAGTTTTATGGATTTGTGGCTGTTTGTGTTCAAGGTTAGTTGTGGACCTCGACTACTGCAATCTGAAACAGGTCTACTATTTCTTGGACATGTAGTATCTCTGGATTTTGACAATACTTCACCGTCCAGAAAAGGCTAGATTTTGGCACTAGAATATCGAATGACCTATTTTGTTAAGTTCAATTTTGCCTTGGATTCAGAACTTTTGGAAGAATTCTGTTCTTTTCAACTCCGTGTCTACTAACTACACATGCGAGATGATGTTGATAAATAATTAACAAGATGTATATCAATTAAGTATTAGGTTTTGACATATAAGTGCAAAATCTAGCTGTTTCTTTCCCCTTCGGAACAGAGGGGCTAACGTAACAGTAGGCAATTTCCCAGGGGCCTACTGACAGTCCACTGCACAAGGGGAAATTGTACGTAATTGATAATCTCCTTTTGATCTTATAGAATATTGAGTGAAGAACGTATACAATCTATACACCCATTTAGTGAAGACTTTTGAGGGTGTCACTCTTGATAAAGGATCTTACTCTTTGATTTGGGTTTACTTATCCAAACACTTTTGATTTTTTCTGCTCATCCATATCTATTTGTTGTATCTAATCCTTAAAAATTGGGAGTTAGTTTCCATAATGCTGTAGAGAATACAAGAATTGTGCTTTGAAGTTCCCCAAATCATTCACTACTTTATATCATGGTAACAGAACACATTAAGCTCCCAACTGTTGTTTTTTCTTCTTTTCTTTTTCTCCTCTTCTCATCATGGCAACCAATCCAACTCCCACCATTTGCACCACAAATGAAACTGCAACAAATGCCACTTAAACTTACGTCTACCAACTATTTGTCTTGGAAACTCCGGTTTGAAACCTTTTTTGTTGGCCATGATATATTATGATTCATAGATGGTTCCAAGTTCCAACCCATGTCCAAAACCATCACAAATTCTACACCCCAAAATTCAACCTACTCATTATGGGTTTCCCAAGAGAATTTATCGTCAATGCTATCATCAGATTCACGACTCCCATTTTAATTCTGTTTGTGGCAAAATATGGAACATCGTTCAAGGCATTTTCAATCTTGGCCACTACCTATGGCAAATCTTCCCGTGACAAGACCATCCAAGTTAAAAATCAATTGAAACACAGGATGAAGGGCACCAAAACAATTGTTCAATTCCTACAAAAGGTAAAAGCAAAGGCCATTGAATCGACTCTTCTTGAAGCGCCCTTCGATGACGATGATATTGCAGACGAGGTTCTTGAAACCCATGGAGATGAGCACCCTTCAGGAGCCGTTCAAGCTAGGGACACACCTATCTTCTAAAGATTACTTCATGAGAAGTTGAATTTTGAAGCTACGCTTCAAAACCTTAAACATGAACCAACATTCCCAAATTGGCGTAATCTTCATTAAAACTCACCAAATTTAAACCGAAGCTCCGGTCAACATAACAATTCTAGCAGGCAACATCGCTCATATCTTTGCTATCAATAAACGGCTTCAAATATTACCGTCGTGTTTGTTGATCACTATACCAGATACACATGGGTGTATCTAATTGGACGCAATTCAAGAGTAAAGGATCTTCTCATTCGATACAAGTTCATCCTTTTGGAAATTTGTGATCCCAGGCTTTGCGCCAACTGATCCCATGGAAAATCAGAGACTGTAGGTTTTTCCCACAACCCTGAGGTAAATCTCCTAGTGGCCACGAGCGCAAATGTAGATGGCATGATTCGAACCCAAGTTGACTTGTCTTTATCCACCACACTACCACCCTTATGGTTTACAAGATCCTTTGAAATCACTATTAAAACTATATATTCTGACAACGGCGGGACTTTCTTACCTTAAGAAAGTTTCTTTCATTGAGTGGTATTGTTCACCACACAATACTGCTTCACCCTGCCGAGCACAACGAAAATGCTTCAATTCATATCATATTGGCCACATGCTTGTAGGACAATGGTTTTGTTTAATAAATCGTATGCTTGCACCTATCTTAAACATGTGAACACTTCATACCAAAATCTTTTAGAAGAGCCTTAACTATTCTTAACTTATAATCTTTGGTTTTCTTTGTTACTCTTAGCTTTGACCATACAAAAATCACAAATTGGAATCCAATTCCAAGCTGTGTGTTTCTTGGGTACTCTTCCACTCAAAGTGCATGTTTATATCTTGCTCCAACCACTTAAAAAATTTACTAGTCTAGGCATAAAATTTGTAGAAATTGTTTTCCCATTTACACGTAAAATTTCCCCAAGACCCAATCTAATCAACCCACAATCTCTGCATGGTTCCCCTCCACTACGCATCCAAACCCCTCGCATGTAGTGCTACCCAATATGTTGACGACTAGAAGCAAACCTTAATAGTTTCCAACTTTTGCAAACACAACCTTACAACCTTCCACCACACATGCTACTAGACACTCGGACACAACCGCTCCACCTTCTAGAACTTAATTACGCAACACACCAAGATGGTGAGGGTAAAGACAATATCCACAAACCTATTGGAAAAATACATCTTTTACTCAAATGACCCAAAACATTGAACCAACCATTGTAAAACAATCTCTTAAAGATTTGTAGTGGGGCAAGGAATGTTAGATGAATTTGATGCTCTTCTAAAGAATGGGACTTGGAAAGTTGTTCTCACTTAGATCACAACCTAGTTGGATGTAAATGGATTCGGGATTGAAAGAAAACCTGAAAGTTATTTTAACATGTACAAAGCAAGATTGGTGGTGAAAGGATTTCATGAACACCCAGGAGTTGATTTTCATGAGATATTCAGTATCGTTGTAAGATCAACCATTGTTAGAATCATGCCAAATCTTGCTGTAACCAAGGGCTGGAATTTGCGACAATTGGATGTCAACAATGCATTCTTGTAATGAGGGTTATACAAAAGTGGTTTTACTACAAGGATTTGTAGATAAAGTCAAACCGTCATGTGCACAAGCTAAGCAAAGCCATTTATGGACTTCGATAGGCCCGAGAGCATTGTATCATGAACTTCAAACCTTTCCTTTTCAATATGGGTTTCAAAAACTCTATCAGACACACTCCTTTTTTATGTTCAAAGATGGAAACAATATCATGTAAACGAGTGTTTACGTTGACCTGATTCTAATGGGCAACAACAATCAATGATCAACGAATTTGTGTAACTCTTGGCCAACATGTTTTCTCTCAAGGATCTTGGCTCATTGTCATACTTTTTTGTGGAAGGGTGTCCAGAGCTATGCCTAGACTAATCCCGACAAATTGTGACTGCAAGAAAATCAACCTTGATAAACTGGTCACAATTGTTGTGTGTGCCTAGAATCGAACCTTGGGCAAATGGGATATTCCATCACGTCCCCCAAGGCCTTAACCACTATGCCATAACCCTTGTTTCTAGGAATTGAAATCATCCTCGGTCAAAAAGGGATTCTTTTATCTCGGTGGTGCTACTTCTTGGAGCTCCATGATCATACAAAGTCGCTAGAGGAAAAAACCATCCCATACACCTCTATCCATAACAATTCAACTCACATTTCATAGTGGTAATGAGCTTGAAAATGCAAACGATATTGATCAATTTTAGGTAGCCTTCAATATCGTCTCTTCAGTTGACTAGATTTTTGCCTTTATCTGCAAAAGTTGTCACAATTTATGTACCACCCCACCATAGATCATTGAACATGTGTGAAATGCCTACCGAGATACTTTCAGGTACAATAAATGAAGGTATTCAACCATATCATTACTCCTATCTCACGCTACATGCTTTTTTGATGTAGATTGGGGACGAAAGATAATTTCTCCTCAATATGAGCTTATATAGTCCAATTTCTTGGAGCTAAAAAAAGCAACAAATTATGGCCAGATCATCCATAGAAGCCGAATACCGGTCAACAAATACAATAAAGGAGGTCAAATGTATCTGCTCATTAATGTTTGAATTACATCTCAGGGTGCCTTCTTGTCCTGTCATATATTGCGATTTGCGACTATGTTGACGCAACCCATCTATGCTCTAATACTATGTTCCACTCAAGGATGAAATACGTAGCCATTGATCTTCACTTCATTTTCATGAGCATGTTCAAAGTGTCACCTTGTGAGTTGCACATGTTTCGTCCACTGATGAACTCGCGGATTCTCTTACAAAGCCTTGCCATGAACATGATTTCTTATCTAATGAGCAAGATTGGACCATCTTCGAGAGGTCCCTCTTGAGGGGGCATGATAAAGGATCCTCCTCATTGATTCGCTTTCTTAGGTTTACTCATCCCACACTTTTGAATCTTTCTACTTATCCAAATTTGTTTGTTCTATCTAATCTTTAGAATTAGGAGTGTTAGTTTCCATCTCTTTGTATATATATTTTTGCCGTAGCAAATACAAGAATTGGGCTTGAAGTTCCCCAAATCATTCACTTTTATATGAACTCCCATCAAATCACGAATAATTGAAAGTGCCTTGCCCCTTCTAATTTTGGAGATGCATTTTTCTTCTTTCGAACCAAAGAGTCATTTTTATGTTACAACATTGGTGGGGAGATTAATTTGGAACAAGAGGGAACCAAAGTACTGCAGCTTTATATTAAAATAGCAACCGCTTTTGAGCATTATCAATTTAGACATAACATGAATAGAGGTCAATTTATGGATTCAGAAATTTAGAGCTGTTTGATTGTTACATGCATATTGTAGTTATAATTTTGGAATAGAGGGAGTACTATGTTATGATTTGTGGTTGTTTGGGGAGACCATTTATTGGGGATTCCGGGGTCTTCATAGAAACAACCGCTCTATACTTTAGGGTAGAGGTCAAGTCAGTATACATCATACCCCCACCCTACCTTCGGATGTGATATACTGGGTTCATTTGGTTCGGTGTGATTTGATTTATTCATTGTGGATCGCAACTAAACTGAAATACCGTTATGGGTTATTGGCTAGGTAATATGACTCTGATTTTAATACACAATATATCTTGCCTTACACTAGATACTGTATGGAGGCATGGTGTTTGTTTCCTAACATGGAATAGATAAAATGTATTTTGAAGTCCTGAACACCACTAATGGAATATTTACTTGCTAATATAACCAGGGTTTTCATTACACAAACCCATCTGATAGTTGATATGCCAATCCGAACTTGTAGCTTTTCTCTGATTTAAAGCATGAGTAACCAGGCTTATAGTTTCATAGCTGGAATATCCAAATGGATGCTGTACTTTTCACATCTACATGTTTGTCATTGAAATCCCAACTGAATAATTATGCATTTTAAAGGTCAAGGGTATACACAGGGACAGCTATTCTCTCTCTATTTTGACATTATGTTTTTTATGTCCATGTCCAGCGTAGCAACATTTTCATGCCAACCTAATACTCTAGGACACTCTGCTGTAAAATCACTGGAAGATTAATCTGTTCATCCTTGATGAAATTTTGTTTGCTGCTTAAGCAGATGATTATCTCTGAATATGCAGGTGCAACTTGTACGTATTCAATTGAGAGTACCAGAATATGGTTGGACAACTCAAAAGGTTTTCCACTTGATGAATTTTGTGGTCAATGGATGTAAGGTTGCTACTGATTTTCATCATTTTTGCATCCTTGAATATCTGCCAGTCTTTTTGATTCTTGTGCATTCATATACCTTTCCACAGTAAGGGCCGTTGAGTTTGGATTTTACTGGAGCGTTTTTCACAACAAGCCAAAAGTAAGTTACTCTGTTGCATCTTCATTGACTTCACTTAAGTCAGTGCTTGTTAGATATGGGTTGCATAGCCAAGATGTATTAAATTGCAACCGGTATGTGTTTATCAAGAAGTATCTTCTAGAATAATCTTTTCTTCTCTAGTAATGGGAAAAGTAAACAATTATTTCTTATGCTAAATGATTCATTTCGCCCATTTTCTCCCTTTTTTAATCCCCAATTATTCTTACGTGGTAATTTGACCACTCACAAAATGAAATGAGAAATGGTTTAAATGAACAAGAGATTCTTGTTGATGGCACATTGAATCTTGTTTTTGTTAAGGAACTCTTTGCTAAAAGTTACCTCTCAGGTCTCTCACTCTCTGGTGGCAATTGGTTTAACGTTAGTACCTTGATACCTGCAGGTATTGGATATGATACTTTTGGATCTTCCTGGTCTTCTATTTTTCTCGACGTACACACTACTTGTATTATTCTGGGCTGAGATATACCACCAGGTACTCACCATAAGAAGCTTCCGTATATATTTTTACTTTAACCAGCAAAAAAATTATAATTCATATGCATGTTTTAGTTGGTATCATCAGTTCATGAGTGGTATATATAAACCGTCACATTTTGATAGTTCAGTTGATGTCAATCTGGTTCTTTTTTCTGAATATCAGGCAAGAAGTCTTCCTGCTGATAGACTCAGACCTGCATATTTCATCGTCAATGGACTCGTATACTTCCTTCAGGTAGCACAAACACGTCCTTGCTAAATTTTCCATTTGTAAGAGGGTGGTCGGGAGTAGGTGGTGGTAGCGAAGCAAAATATTTTTCCAGGGAAAGGAGAATGTAAACCTTTAGATTAGCAGTTTTACTTCTGAACTATATTCTAATTGTTTTTGAACTCCAGGTGTGTATCTGGATATATATGAGATTCAGCAAAGGTGCTGTTGCTGTGGAGGTTGCTGAACTCTTCTTTTCAGGTAAGAAGGTGGTTCAGCAGTGGCCTCAAATTTGATTGATGTGTATTTATGATTGAAAGTGCATCATCTGTTAGATTTTTACTGCTGCATTTGACATGATTATCATTATTGAAGCCAATAGTGTAATGGTGTATGCAGTTATCTCGCTTTGTGCTGCTCTGGGATTCATTATATATGGCGGGAGGTAGTGGCTCCAAATTTTGGCCATTTATTGCTCAATGCTGTGAGGAAACCAATTTTATCTATTTACAATGTTTGTTTCTTCTGAAAGGTTGTTTGTCATGCTTCGGCGCTTCCCAATTGAATCTAGAGGCCGCCAAAAAAAGCTACATGAGGTTATATCTATGTTCCCTCTTGGTCCTTTTGATGTTGGAGCTTGTTACCAAGTAAATAGGAAAGTTAAATGTTTATTGTACATTGTCTAATAATGTTCAGTCCCATCCATTTCTGCATATGTGTTATCATTTCATTTGCAAATATAATTTGATAGAGACTGGATGTTGCCTTTTAAATAAAAATCGTAGTTGGTGACCTTCATCTAGTGTCAACATTGATAAGTTCTTGAGAACTGACCATCTTGGTAAATTGGTGAGGCCCCATTTGCAAATCCTTTTAATTTGGTTATTTGAAGCTTTTAGGATTGGTTCAGCCCCTTCTCTTTCTGTTGACTTGCATGGATCGTTAGGTTCCTGGTTTGAAGATTTTCCTCCCCTTTCTTACTATGTACTTGAAAAACAGTTTGTGATGAATATGTGGAAATAATACTAGACATCATGAGATTAAAAAAGACAATTGCCTAGTCCCTGTTATTTATTCGTCTATCTATTGGCGTCTTTCTGTTTTAAACTTTATTTTTATGTAATCGAATAGAGAACTTAAATTCTTGCAATTTTGAGAGATTCTACCCAGTGTTTGCCTGTTAGGTTGTTGTCCTAGGGGTTATTTAACAGCATAGATGGGCAGTAGTTTAAGACAGCTAGTAATCGTTAGTTCATTACATGGTATTGGTAACTTCGAGTTTGATCCATAAATTTATTTCATTTTGTGGCTTGTGCTATTGAGGAGCATTTTAGATATTTGACCAACACGAAACATTTTCTTGATTTGTTTGTGAAATAGTTTTACCATAAAAATATTATTTTGACCATGCTTTAATTTAATTAAATGTTCCCCCCGTCGCATTCACAAGAAAAAAATAAATAAATAATATGTACCTAGTCCATCCAGAAAAAGAAATTGTCCACCTTCCATTTTGCAAGTTCAACTTGGTACCTTCCAAACTGAATTGATCCAGATATCTTTAATTTTGCATACTTAAAATGCTTGTTTACATTATTAGCAGTTGGCAGGATCTTGTCTATAGTAGCTGCTTACCAAAATCGTAGTCGCACAAATCTGCATTTAATAATTCTTTACCATGTGCATTGTACAATGTGTGCATCACACAGATCTGCATAAATTCATTACCATGTGTTTTATATAACGTGTGCATGAGTGACTGCTTTCCATAATCATGGGCGGATCTATGATGTTGTAGGGGGCACTTGCCCCCAACAAAAAACTCGACTGAAGTTTAGCTAAAATTCGTATGATGCCCCCAGCTCCTAAGGTTCAAACTCAACTGAAGTCATCTTATTTATCTTATTTTGTTTGTTATATTGCTATTTGTTTGAACAACCACTATTTTTTTTGTTCTTTACCAACTTTCTTTTTAGCATTTTATTTTTATAGATCGATATTTATTATTTTTTGCTAATAATTAGTGTTCTATTTGTTAGTTGTTATTCGATTTGGGTTCTTGAGTTTGTTATTTAATTTTGGATTTGTTGTTTATTTTTGATTTATTGGTTTTTGGCTATCTGATTTCTTCTAACTGAATTTTATTTCTTGGATTCTCGCCCTCTAATTTTTTGCTACCAACAATTAATTTATATGTTTATTTGACTATTAAGAATTCTGATTTACCTTTCACTAGGTTTGTTATAAATTAGTTTAACGCCAAATGTCAACATGCTTTTTCTATTACAAATTGGTTTAGTGGTTTGTTCTAGGGGTGTTCAAATTTATGTACAAACTGCATAACCCGTCCACTCCACACCAAAACTTGCGGTTTAGAACTTTTGCGGTATGATTTGTGGTTTGTATTTTCTTATATCACACTATGTGATTTGGTTTGCTGGTTCGAATTACTCAAAATGCGGTTTAATTCGCACTGCACCACATATTAATTCCTATTACTTATTTTATATATATATATATATATATATAATTATGTCTTATATTTTATGGAATAAAAATGATTTATTAAGACTAATTAAACTACTGATAGTCTAGTAAGCCAATAACTATAAAATATCATCCTAAGTACCACCCAAATTTGCAAACTTTTGAGCATTAGTCCTTTAAACTTTTTTTGAATCTTGTGTATTGTAAGTTTATTAGTTATTATGATTAAAAGTATAAAACTTAGTCAGTTAAGTTTTTTTCATTTATCTAACTTACAAAGTTGGGTACAAACCATTAATAAATCGTGACCAAAATTCAGTGTTTTCTCTTTATTAATTAGACTAGTAAATTAGTTATTTAGGTAAAAACCGCATAAACCGCCAAAGTTTTGTGCGCATGCACGATTTGATTGTGGTTTGAAAAATTGTTCAAACCGTTCATGCAGTTTGGTTTGCAGTTTTGGCTCTAAACCAAACCAAACCAAACCGCACCGCACTGCACTGCACTGCGGGCACCCCTAGTTTGTTCCTCTAGCTATCCGGTCCATTATGAATCACTCGAATTTTAATACATATATGTAATGTATTCACTTGCTCAGTTTAATCGAGATAGTAAAAAAAATTAACCGAAAACCAAACCGAATAAGTTATCATTATTGGGTTAATCAAACCGTTTAATTTTGAATAAACCCGAAACCATCTTGCTTCGGATTAATTATCGGGTTTGGAAAATTTTAGACCTCTAAGTATGCCCCCAATGATGAAAGTTTCTTGATCCGTCACTGTCCATAATTGGCTAGCATTCACTTGCCATGTGCTTAATATATCATTTTTCTTACATATTTCCAAAATAGATTTGTTAGAACTTAAGGTTAAATAAAACTCCATCATCAGTCGAAATCCATACTTGGACGAAGGTGGTAGAAAAAAAAATAACTATGCATGTACTCTACTGGGAGTCGTCCCATCTTTAGAGAAAACCAAAACATGCTTAAAAAGGACAAAATTTGTTGCACATCGTATATTAATCTTGCTTTGACACAATATGGCATGCATTGGAACTAAAAATGATTTGACCATTGCCTTTTGTCGATGATGAAGAGTTTATGGCTCAAACCATTGTGTGCTTTCCTTTTTGACAGGTGGGATTTGTGACAGGAATTTGCTGCACATGTTTCTTGATAAGATGTGTGATGGTAAGCTCCAATTGTTCAAAGCATGCATCCACCTATAGTTTCCGTTACTTTCGCCTGCAATAACCGTATTTATTTTGTACAATAGGTTGCCGTTGCTGCATTTAACAAGGATGCCGATATTCATGTTCTTTCTCATCCCATCCTTGATCTTGTCTACTACCTGGTAATTTTACGTTACATTTCGCATCAGGATACTGAATTCATTGGTTTAAGAAGAATAACTTGTTTTGCTTATTGACTGTTAACAAGAAAAGTCATTATTAATACAACATTAGATAGCAGTAGGGAGAGTTGGAAATAGGTCTAAGGGTGAGTGGTGAGACTTGAGATTTGGAACCATAGAGGTAACATGATCACAAGGTCAAAAATGCGTGTGCATCTACTGTTATGCCTTGTTTCTTCGAAGTCTTGGTAAACCTTGTAAGTTTGAGTTTTCTTGGGCCAATTGGGATTTTCCTCACTGTTATCTTCAGGGCCCCATAGGATATTAGGATTAGTCGAAGTGCGCACAAGCTGGTCCAGAACCCATGTTTACCGCACAAAAGGTGAGTAGATCAGGGAGTAAAGTTTGTTTTGACAAACCTTTGGCAATTAGTGGGCAACCCACTACTCTAGTTACCTTAGAGCGTGCCCAACTCGTTATATGTGCCAAATGCCATGATCCTTGCTCGAAATTGGGTAGGTGTCACGATCGCATCCTGTGGATAGAGAATGAGGTTAAAGAATTTGGGCTGGTAGAACATTACAACTATAGATTACTTCTGTCAAGTGTATAGATTCTCATCACCTGCCTTTTTCTTGAGGTGGTTGTCCTTGTGAAATTAACATAAGTTTGTTAGAACTCGTAACTCATGACCAGATTGCATCATATCTCTTCAATATATGTTGGAACCTCACTGCTTTCCTTAAAAGCTCTTTCGGGGAGTAATCTAATGGGGTCTTGATATTCTAACATGGTATCAGAGCCAACATCTAGTCGTCTACCACTCTAGGAGACGACACTGTGGTGAAATCTATACTTGTCTAGCCCCCTCTCGACACTCGGAGACAATCCGTGCACGTCTAGCCTCTGTTTTTTTTTTTGTTTGGGGGGGGGGGGGGTGTTAAGAGTCCTACATCAGCTGGACGTGGACCATTTATCCTCGATATATGTTGGGACCTCCCTTCTCTCCTCAAGGGTTCTTAATGGAAGTAATCTAACGGGTTTCCAACATATTCTCAGTATACGGTTTCTTTAATCTAACGACATATTTTGGTGTTTCCTTGTTTATACAGATAGTAGAGATCGTCCCTTCTGCTCTTGTGCTTTTCATTCTGAGAAAACTGCCTCCAAGACGGGTTTCGGATCATTATCATCCAATCAAATAATGAAAATTTCGGATCGATGAGTCCTCTTTCCACGTAAATCCCTTCAACGGTGCAAATGTCCTTGTTCATTCATGTGTGTTCCTTTGCTCATGAGAATAAGATTCCCATCTTCAGATGTATGTCTTGCCAACAGCATGGCCAATAGACAGGAACTTGTTGCCGGGTATTTTTGTAACTTTTTCTGGTCGAGATCTTAATCCATTAATCTGAAAAGTAAGTTCTTCAAGTTAGACAAATCAAATTAGTGAATTATTAAGAATAGATTTAGTTTTTGACATAGCGGGTGTTATTTGGATGTAAAATAATCACACGACTCGGTTCGTTATAAAATTTGTGTCGACATGTTTTGGTATAAATGTTTTGAGAGATTACATATGAGGTATTACAATGAAGGCTTTTAAGTGCGTAACACAAAATAAGAATCAAATCAAGGTACGTTGCATTTTATATGGTCCGTCTTAAACAATAATGATCGGGTTCAAAGCCAGTTCCAAAACGTGAACGGGGGACTGGATTGATGATAAAATAGAATCCTGGGTTGTAAACAGTGATTCGATTGATGATGACCTTGGACATATAATAGTTCCGAATCGAATCTCTTTAGAAAGATCTTCTGTCTCTTGGTAGCCGACTCCTGTCCCTTTACGAAACTTTCGTTATCGGGTTAGCCATACACTTCACATGTTTCTAGCGATTCACATGGCATCATCATATGCACTGGGCTTGGTAAATAGTCGTTTGTCCAATTATGATCTTATCGGTTATATATTGTCGGTTATGGGTTCTTTGTAAATGGTCTTTGTTTTGTTTGTGACCGGATATTGGATTTTGGACATTTTTGTACATCTTCACAAATATGATAACGGTTCGAGACGAGTGTTTTGAACACCGATTCAGAGACGGAGAGAATTGTGACATGTTCAGGTGCATCACTTTGTCATTTTCAGCATTCTTTTGTTGGTTTGAATTGTGATTCGGTAACGTTGTTTACTCCTACGTTTTAAACCAGTATTGTATTGTTATCGGTTTTTTTGAAAGTTTGGATGAAAAATGGCGTTTGTAAAGGAGCTTTATATGATGAGAGAGATGATTCTTTTAATTCTTTTTCAACAATGAGATTTAGGGGACGTTTATTAAACACTTACCCAGTAAGTGATTACAGGGTAATTTTTCTTACCGGATGTACATGAATCATGATAAGAGTCAAAAATTTTACCCGATAAGAATAATGATAAAAATGGAGAGTCTTGCTCGGTAAGTGAATGTAACGACTCTTATCCGGATAAGTGCTTACTTGGTAAATTATTGCATATGATACCACCTTAATGTACTACAATCTTACCCGGTAAAATAAATTATATTGTTGACTCCTAACGTTAAACGCTTACCGAGTAAGTATTTAGGTAAACGGCCCCTTAATGTATTATTATTTTACATATAGTTTTTTTGAGTAAATTACACCATTGATCAATCCTATCGACAACCCTTAATATACATTGTATTTTTATTTTTTTACATAATGTATTCTTAAATTATTCTTTATTAATATATTGTATTTTAAAAAAATTATCTATTATATTAATAGGTAATCTTTTAGTTAGAATTAAGTTGATATAATACAAGTTAACAGGTTTTCATGTCATATCATTGTCCATATAGAATGTCCATGTATAATATATAGCTGATGTGACATTTTTTATTACAACATTGTATTTTCAAAATTACCTTATTATATGAAGGACCCAGATTTCAATTTATGATACCAGGTTTGTAATACCTCATTTCTAT